CCTCATTATTCTTTTTTTTTTCCGACTATGAGACATAGAAACCCCAACTTTCAACTTTAAGTCCCCAAACTTAATCAACATTGATTAAAGCAATCACAAGCACACCTCAACAATACAAATCGTCTCAAAACCAACTCACCACAATAAATCACAAAAATATCAACCTTCATGTCTTTGTCCCCAAAATAAAACACCTCAAGAATTTAACCAAATAAAATCAACTCAAGCCATTTAAACTAGCAAAATAAATCCAAACTAGCTCTCATATCATGATAGCAAAATTCCACGTATGCAATATCATGCTCAAACACAAGCAAATAACATGCAAATAATCTAAGACTCAAACTCTAAGGGGCATAAATACAATCACATAATAAACATGAATGCACACCAAGAAGAACCTCCCCAAACTTAGAGCTTGCATATATCATTGACACTCATAATCACAAAAAATAGAGGTAAAAGAAACGAGTTCACCTTAGTCAATGCGGAAGAAGTCACCAAACCATGCACACCATTGTGTTGCCTCCCAACAAGCGCCTCTTTTTATTGTCGTTGGCCCGACTTATTGCTCCTTCTCATCAAAGAGTCCATGGTGGCTTCCGAGGTGGCCTCAAGGGAGCCACAAAGCTCACCACACCATGCTTATTGAAATTTATTCTTTTCGGCGTTGGATGCTTCACCGGATCTTTCATCCATGACGCTAGTTGCTCAAGAATATGTAGCAGCCCGTGATCAATCACGATCATAATCTCATTAAACTCCCATTTGCGCCTCACATTTTGCTCGATCGTCTCAAGAGAAGGTATATCAAGGCCCAAGACATACTTCAGTGCATCCTTACTCAGGACCCACTTCATATTGGAAGAGATAGGACATGGTTCAACTTCTATCGGCACAAGAGCGGGGAGAACGGTACACTTTTTGGCTTCAACAGGTCGAGTACTGGGTCCAGCAAGTCGGGTACGGGGTACCCCAATATTCTGCTGCTTCGACTCTGCTTCCTCTATGTTCGTGATTTTTTCGTTCTCCGGCTCGTATGTGCACTCTTCAGGTTCCTCGAGATCCTCACTGCACAAATGAGGGACGCTTGAACTCATCGGACTTGTTTCGAGCCGACACACTAGTCGGTCCGTTTGTTCCGCCAGTTGGCTCATTTGAACTTGTAAATTCCTTATGCGTAGTCCTTGG